TTTTTTTTTTTTTTTTTTTAGTTGCAGTCATGTTTATTCATCACATTGCATGTGTGGAAGGGATGTGGCAAAGAACAATGTAAAGTTTGTACTTCCTTGCCCATTTGCTCATCAGAATCAGGAAAAGGAGTAAGAAAGAGAAGGACAAAACAATAAGAAAAATACATGTTTCATTCCACCTGCATTGATACCACTCAGAGAATTCAGACTTTGTCAAGTAATTATCTTTAAAAGTTTAGTTTATTTCGCATTCTAAAAATGGTACTAATCAAAAAAAAAAAAGCATAACACAAAGACAATTCAGCATCAGACCACAGGTTTACCTCTGCATTTTCCTTCTAGTACTAGCCAATAGAAGAGCACCAGCATGATGTCTATGCTGGACAAGCATAGAATATTATCTCCCATCTTGTTGCATCTCTGCTGTCTTCTAAGATTGTGTCTTAGGTTTTATAGCTAGCAACACACTTTTTTTCCCATTAATCTGCCAAAATTACTTTTTGAACCGAGGAACACACTCAAGGTTCTGTGACAATAAATTCCAAAGTTTAACTACAGGACTCTTATGTAAAAGGACCTCCCTCCTTCTTCTGAATCTGCCTCCTGATTATGCAAGCATGAAGAGCAAATAAGATTATGGAAAACCAGTATTGCCTTGAGTCAAGAGGAGTTGGAAGTTAGACTTGATGATTCTTACGGGTCTCTTCCAACTTGAGAGATCTATGATTCTGACCGTTTCTCTATTCATCTTCTTCCCACGTCTTTCTCACACCACATATTCCCCCATCAGTCATCGCTTCTTCACATTGAAAGTCTCCTCACGCACAAATCATTCCATTGCTTTGTGCGCTCTTCCCTGTACGCCTCTAGTTCATCTCTATCACCTGGAGACAAAGTTTAAAACTGCATGCAACATTCAAGTATTGTGTACTACAAGAACCCTTCCGCAATGCTAACAGCTAATTCACAGCCTGCTATTGCAGATGTAAAACTGGGACTGTTTTTCCAGAGTGCATCACTTGGCATTTATCTACATTTAATATTATTGTTTCGTCAAGCTGCCATTCAGTTTCACAGAGCTAAGGTGCTATGTTACCCTTTTGCTTACATGCTTAGCTAATTTTTCCTCAGTGCTTTCTGCCACATCAGAGTTCAACAAGCAACAAATCTGTTATTTTTTTATATGAAGTGCTTGTACAGACTCAGTCATAAGACAATAGTCAGTGACTGTAAAATGTTCATAAAGTATTGCTAAATTTATGAATCACACAATACTGCATCATCCAATCATTAAAAAAAAGTTCTTTTGCACTGACCCCAAATGCAAGCTAAATTTAAGACATTTTAGAAACTACTGATGTTTTTGCTATGAAATGAGAGAAGGAAAAGGATGTTTTAGGTTCTTTCCATACATCAGCTCAAGGAGTCATCCATGAATCCAACCTAGCTAAATATAACTCCTTAACACCTCTTGTGATCAAAACTATGAAGAGCAGATTGTTTCAAAACAATTAAGACAACACGGTAGCAGAATTAACTACTTGGATTTGATGCATCTCTTCTCAGGACAAGCAATATAGCTTTAACATGGAAGATATTTGAATATTCAGGTTACACTCTGATAGAACAAGTGAACTGGTCAGACTCCATTTATGGAGGATCCTGCAATCATCAAAATGAAAAAATGAAAAAAAAAAAGCAGCCTAAATACCTCCTTTGGGTCCTTACTGATAATTTAAGATACACTTTGCCAAAGCATCAGCATCAAAGCTTCAGACAGAGTTCTGGGGGTGAACTGGAATAGGCAGGAAACAAGGAGCTATTCTACAAACAAAAGTCCAGCCACATAGCGAGTGACCCTTTCTACAACTATGGAAGCAGTCATGGGGAACATGCTGCATCAGGAAGCTGGGAGGCTTTGCTCAGAGCTGAACTCTCTACATTGACCACAGACATCTGTCCACCACTTAAAAGGGGATAACAAACTATGACTGTATGATTGTTGGCAAGGTTTTTTAGAGTCCTCAGGAAAAAAAATATTAGATAAGATGACAAGTGAGACAATTCTCCACAAATCCTGAGTGCTGCCAAAATAAGGGTTCTCTCATATCTGTAAGTTACAGAATTCGAAGATATACAAAACAGTTCAAGCATTTTATTTGACTTTTTTTTTTTGTGACAAATCCAGTTTCATTTCTATCAGTGGCCATTTGACAAACACAGCAGTAACCGCTCGTGAATAGTTCAAGAAAAGTTTAATGAAGCATCCAACACATTGCTGCAAGTGTTATTTTCCATTGTAAAGACTTGTTCTTAGCCTTAATTATGAGAATATACAGTATCTTGGAAAAAAAAAATAAGACAGTCCTCTGATATAATGGCTTGTATAGTTTCATTAACTAAAATCAAATTTAACTGAAACTGATTTTTGGTGCAGAGATCACTTTTAATGAGGATTGGGCAAAGCTAAGGCAAAGAAAGTCAGAAAAACCTTTGGGTTTTTTTTAAAAAAAAATTTTTGGATACTTTCCAGCCTTTATCCCTGTTCATCATCATTATTATTACAAACAGATGCTAAAGATTATTCAAAATTCAGAGTCTTAAAATTTTTGGTTAGCTTAGGTGTAAAGGGGACTGATGTTAAACAAACACGAGTGTGACTAGCATTGTGAACACCATACAGCAGATAGTACTTAAAAAAATACTTACTGGCCTTAAACATTTTAATACCTGCAGCAAAATGCCATGGGTAATTTCTGAATTTCCTTACGCCCATAACAAAACTTCATTGAAGTTTTGAATGCAAGGGCCCCAGACTTTCTGAGGAGAGCTAAATACTTCTCTGTAGTTGTGGAAATTCATCTTTAGCTTTTTCAAGTTTTTCTCCCTAGCTGCAAGTTGTATTTTGTTGCAGACGACATAGCTTCATTTTACTAATCTACCCGTTCAGGTTCTTGCACCATGCTCATCACTGAAGCAACTACTGAACAAGTAACCTAGAACACTTATTTGGACAATTCACCAGGTAATTTGAAAACATTTTCCAAATGTTATATGATGAGTTACACCGATCAGTGTAACCTATCATATATTTCTTTTTATACACTATGTAATAGTTGTGAGTTTCAGATATCCAACAGAAATAGAGAACTATCTAGAAAAGGCCTCATTGACAAATTTAACATTTCAAGTTGGCAGCTACTCTGTTTATGGCTGTAACAATTTTGTTCCAAGAATTAACATGCATATGTCCTTTTATATTTGCTAAATTAGGTTTTATTATTATTTTTAATATTTCTCATTTGTATTGTAACAGAATGGAAACTGCAACTCTACTGCTATATAGTATCAAAAAGGCTACCAGTAAAAAGACCCAGCATGTAAAAATTTCTGAGGAAAACACTACAATGTTTTGGTTAGCAAAACTATACAATTACAGGTTTAGAAGGTACTAAAGTAGAATACACTCCAGAAGCACCAGATGAGACTATGCAGCACTATGCACATTTTGTTTGCAAGTTCCTCCACCATATTCTTCCATTCCAAACTGAACACTGAAATTGGCTTCAGAACATTAGAAAACCCTTCTAGACAGAAGTTGCTGAACACAGAGTTTTCAGAATGTTTTTGTCACTGCTACAAAATATATTAAAAAATCCTCACCCACAGCTTGATATGTAGATTTTTCACATTTGCTAAAAAACAACAGGTGGTGGGGTCAAAATGCAGAATACAAAATTCTGAAGTAGTTTCAAGCTTATAAAACAATTATTACTATAGTTGTAGTGTTATTACTTAATACTACCATTAGTAGTAATACTATCAGCAATATTAATGCTGCTATTACTTGAAAGTATAAAGCAACAAAACGTAAAAATTACCTGGTGAACCTGAATTTCCACTTTCAGAGCCTCCTGTAGAGTCTGCAGCTCCATTCTCTACCTTCTCCACTTTCTCTAGAAGTGTCTTTGCTGATTCTAGTGCCTTTAGTTCCTGGTTTCCTCTTTAACACCAGTGCTATTGAAAAATAAAGATTTTTGTTTTGGTTAGTGAAGGAGAGGAGTCAATTCAAAAAAAGATTATAAGGGAGTATGAATTCATCAGTGAACTATATTAAACTGCAGCTTTCTAGCCTAAACACAAACAATCTTCTGAAAACAAGAGATCTACAGGCTGTACAAAATGCCCGCCTTGCAGTCTTGTTACTTCCCACATATCCCGAAGTTGACATACTTGTCCCTTATCTTAGTTTGCAGGCAGCTATTTCCTACCAATATCCTATTGCAGTTGCATATTAAATAAGAAAATTTAACTACCAATGATGTTTTAGAAATCTGTGTGGATGAGAAAATATTCTGGAGACTAAAATTCTGCAACTCGTACAGCAGTAAGTTGTTAAACAGAATGTACTACATTAACATACTTCCATGATATTATAGAGCTGTTCTTAGATGGGATGGTCTACATGTAATTTGACAGAACATTAATGTATTAAAAACTCACTGCCTAAAGTTTGTGCTGAGTTAGTCATTTCAGTTGAAAACTGTTTTGAAGGAACACAAGACTGATATAAAGCAGCACAGGACTTTTTCAAAACCATTAATTTTAAAATCCTTTTAATCCTGGTATTCTACTTGTAGAATATGAGTATGAGTTTACCTTCTTCATTTGTACTACAAACAAATAAATCCTCCAACCTCTGACATAGAAAAGCATTATCAGCCATGCTTCTAAAAGCCTTGAAAGTTGGACAAGAGATTCTTTGTTCTGAAGTATGTTAAAAGTATCAACTTCTGAAACAGGATTAAGATTCCTGTCTCCATCCCATATAACTCAAATCACAATGGAACCTGTGTAAAAACATATATAAATACATACACATAAAAGCTATCAGAAAACATTATATAGCAATCTTTCCAGTCACTGTTCCACCCAGACACCACACATTAAAGAACTGCTGGAATGTTAAAATAGTTCCTATTCTTTTTATTTTTGAAAATTGCTCACAATTATTGCATAGGTATTGTAGCCATCTCAGAGGCCTTCATAATGGGACTTCATTGTTTTCAAAAAGGATACTGACAGCTTAGATTAGACATGTAGGCTGTAAAAAGACAGTAATTCCCATAAGTGAGAGAATTTTATTTTAATGTCTCACTACAGTAAACTGAAGTGCTGGACAAGTTTGTGAACTCCAGAAAATAAAAAAAAGAGGGGGTGTTGTTTTGTTTATTTAAATTAATTGTTTCTCTTTCCAAAGAGAATTACATTACAAAAAAAGAGAAAACTATAAAGGGCTTTTAAAAAGCATTATATTTAAACTCATTCTTTGTCAGGGCTGTCTGCTGTTAGCTTAAAGTTACTTATTTAAATAACAAAGGCTTGATCAGACTTTCTAGTCAACACATGAAATGACCTTCTGCAAGGGCCTCTCCCACATGTGACACAGACGAGCAAAAACAGCTGCCTTTGCAGCACTACTCTCTATAAAATTGTAATTTGTATCAAGGGACATGGAAATTACATATAGTTCCCTGTTCTATTACCACAAACAGTAATGAGAAAACAGAATCCCGGATTATTACTTCCACTCACTGACAAGAACAACTATAGCCTGCATTAAGTCCCTAGCATTGCAGTTCTAAAAGAAACCATGCTTCAGAAAACCACGTGGGAGACTTGGCTAACAAAAACTGGAACCTGCTGCAGAGGCAACAAGTCTTTCAGAAGCCTTGGAAATTCAATTTTGGAGGAAAAAGACAGGCAGAAGTGGCCATAGTTTCTTTCTCAGTGTGTCTTCAATGAATGAGAAGGCAGTCATGATGAATGGCTAGTATCACTCTATAAGTCCACAGTAACTTTAAAGTCGAGTGCAAAAATGCATAAGAGACAGTTAACTGAAAATATAAACAATATTCATAATTATAATACATGTGACAGTAAAGCCCAGTTCATGGGAAAAATGACACAGTACTTCTGTAAAAAAACATACAGAGATTGAGCAACTACTATTAATGCACAACTTAATTTGACAGATAGAAATGATAGTATTGACGGTTCATAAAAAAAACTAATCCAACCTAATTTCATAGATGTCTTGAACAGCTAGAAAGATTTTTCAAAATTAATTTAAGATGTTTAAGAAAAAAGTGATAGCGCTTTGCAGAAGCAACTGGTTGCTGAGCCCTAGCCAGGTTTACAGGGTGTAGACATGAACAGATGTAATTCACTGTTGTATTGAGGAACATCTATTGTGACAAGAAAAAAAAAAAACAAAAAACCACAATTCTAGTAACACACCAATCATTCAGTTTGATCCCAAAATATGTTACAATTTCAGATTTTTCTTTCATTGTAATTAAAAAAGTTAGAAGATTTTAAGATTCCTTAAAATATATTCCTTTGATATATAGAAATTTGAAGTAGGTGCCATACTATAACATCCTGAAGAATTTTTCAGTTCCTGACTGAAGTTTCCAAGAAAAGTCAAGAGAGATTAACAAACTTTTGACCTTTTTTTTTTTTTTTTATATAGGTTTTCTAATTCTTGACTCCTTCCTACTTCCCCTCCTCCAGCATTCCCATTATAGCCTCAGAGCAACTCACTTTGCAGTATCATTTACTTCCAGTTACTTTGTGCCAGCAAAGTTACACTGAAGCACATTTTAAACATAAGAAACAATCTCTGCTTCAAAACCTGTCTGGTATGTAAAGAGAAACTAACACTGCCTCATCAGCGAAGGCTACACAGTAAAGAACCATCTTTTGCAATCACCTCTGCCAGCTGCTGTATTTGTCAGCTAGTAGCACCAGTGTTCTCCCTAGTGAAAAGTGAAGCTGGTTAAGCAATTATGAGCACTTTGTTAAATTACAAATAAGATACTGTATATCTGGCATGCCATCCCCGCCGAGGCATGCATCACCACCACTTTAAAGACGAGGAAACAGGCAAAGGACGGTGAAGAATTTATTATGAGGTTCTGAAGTGTTAGAAGAATCCAAATCATTGGTGGGTGGGAGAAAGCATTAAGTAAGATGTTCATTTAAAAATCTGGTCAAGTTGTCGATTGCTGAATATGAAATCTATACAGTTGTTATTTGGTTATACCCTCCTACAACTGAAACACTCTAGGAACATGCACTTGTACCTTTCCTTCTCAAGCAGGAATAATTATGTTTGTTTTTTTTTTTTTAAATGGGATCACTCCTTTCATCCAACAAATCCTAGACTGTATTTTTCTATTTTATGTAGAATATTGTCTAGAAATTATGAAGATAGCTGGTTAAAAATAGCTAACATTTCCTTTGAAAGCAAGTACAGAACTATGTAAGCAAGTGGCCACACATTTTATGAGTGCAGAAGTCTTCAATATTTTTAACCTTTATTCTTTCACACTTAACTTCAAACGAAGATTTTAAAAACTTAAGTCCAGTGGCATTACAAACTACCCAGAATACCACATCCAAAGATGTATAAAACCATCCCTGAATTAATCATAAAACACTATATTTTCCACCCTACCCTTATGACAGTGGAATTATTTTAATTAAAAAGGTTGTAGATTATTGAAATTGCATGGATGGGTTGGTCTGCAAACATCCTTCATCCCATTAGCTTTTGAAGGAAATCATGCAACTGCCTTGTTCAGTGCTGGAATCAGTGATTTCTAGAAGGAAAGCAGAGGATTGTGGAGTACATGCATCTCTTGTACATCTAGACATACTCCCAAAGCTCAGCCAGAAAGAGCACAGAGAACAAGAGGTGAATTTGCCATTCTTTGGATTGAATTCAGCTATGGGAGGCAGCAGTCCTCCATTCATTTTATTGCTAGCATATATTTGTTATAAATAATCCCTTATTTCTTATGTGGTTGCTTCAAGACTTAAAATTTCATACTCAGATAAGTACCCCAATGCACCACAGTTAAGGTAGTAGATGCTTATATACTATATAAATATTCAGAGACTGAATGAAGCCTTAAATTCTACAGTAATCATGTTAAGTGCATTAGCGCTTCTCTATTATTATCTCAATTAAATACAATCCACATTAGAACATCTAAAATATCACAAAGCTATTTAAACTACAGCTATTTTGGAAACTACACTAGAAACACAGCTGACAAGGTATATATTTGAGATATAGATATAGATATATATACACATACATACACGAAAACAAAGGTAGGAGCCACACAAAAGCCATGAATGCCTTCTATGTGTCTGGAAGGACTCTTGAATAGTTTAGAATTTTAGGCAGAAGTATTTCTGCGCCAAAAATCCCTACAAATAAATTTGGTTTTCACATTACACAGAAAAAAAACCCAAACCATTATTATTTTTGAGTGGATGAATTTAAACGTCCACTGTACTTACAGACTCTTGGGTCCAAATCTCAGCCCTACAGTGATTGTATTTATAGGACTGGGGCTTCCATCAGTAACATTTACTTTTTAAGATTTGATTTCTGAATATAAGAATAGATAGGATTTCATTTCAGTAAACATCAAACTTTTCCAGGAATGGATGCCAGATCTTCGTATCATCTATTCTTAGGTAAACCATCTTAGCCCTGGAAAGAAGTACTTACCAGCTTTGAGAAAGTTATTCCCTTCAGCTCTCTACTCCCTCCTACAAAGAAAAACAACAAAATATAATTACACACAGTTTAACTACAGTTTGAAAAAAGAAAAATAAAATTCAAATATTTGGAAAGTTGGAGGGGGTAGGAGTTTGGGTTTTGGGGAGGGGGTTTTTCATTGGGCTTTTTTTTGGGGGTTTGGGCATTTGGTTTTTAGCATTTTTTTTAAAAAGCTGAAGTTAACTATAAAATACCACCTGGAAAGAAAATCCATTTGACATGGAAGGGAAAACTAAGGAGACCTGCAAATCTAACTTAGATTAGAATACAACCTATTACTGTCACTAATGGAAGAAGAGATGACAGGTACAAGCTTTCCTAGTTCTGAGCAAAGCCTGTGTGTGGGAAATACCTCCTCTCCATCACATTTATTAACATCCAAATCACAAGCCCTGCCAGCTGCCACAACCAAATACGACAAGGTTACCCACCCCAGACATTTGCCCACCACCTCTACTAGAGGTTATAGCAACGCAACAAAGATGGTAGAGCAGGTGGTGTGTCAGTGCAGTCACTAGAGCTCAAATCCCAGAGTACTAATGTTAACTGAAATCAATGGCAGTTTAAGCTAATATGCTAGGTCATGAACTGTGGAGGCCAAGAAGATACACTGCCCGTTACACTGCCTGTGTCAGGGGAAGAACGTTTAGCAGAGGAGCAAGGTAGTACCTCTGAAATCATCCTCGTATGAATCATAAAAAGCTCTTGAGTCATAGTCCTAAAAAGATAGCTAAAATATAAGTAATAACTCATTTGCTCAATTACTCTTCCTGAAGCTTCCTAAAAAAAGCTTCCAAAATACTCTAATTTTCTAGTAAAATACTAGAATATTAGCATATTTTAAGCTTCAACTCCACAGCTAACAAGATATTTGCAGAAATGTTTCTATCCACACACAAGTCATCACAAAGCTGAAGTTTAAGCCCCAGCCTGATGAATAGATAGAGTAGCAGAAAGCCACAGAATCATCTCTCACTCAGTGGAGAGACCAGCATAAGTGGAGGAGTTTACATTTACTAACCAGCAGAGCCAGGGTGCTGATGAACAGCAAGAACAGAACAGAAAACAGGAAGTCTACTGCTGGTAGTGACTGTACCATCGCTCTCAGTCTCAAATTTTATTGTGCATTTTGAGCAACAAAATATTACAAAAGTTAAATTAATTTTAGAGCCATTTCAGGTTAATTTACATAACACCCAACTGTTGAAGTGGTAGGTTAGGAACTGGGGAATATGGACTGGTTTGAGGCTATATACAAATTTATTTTGTATATAAATATACAAGCACATTTGCTCTGGATGATACAGAATTTGAAATAACCTTGTTGTTGAGGGTGCTGAAGAGACAGGTGTGATTCTCAAACTCTACTAGTTTCTTCTTTGATACTAAAACCTTAGTTGTCACTGCCACCTCCCACTATCAATCAGTTATTTAATTGGTTAAAAAAAAAAAAAATCTACAGAGAAAGCTTCATCATGCAAGCACTAGCCATCCTCTTCAACAAGCAACTAGAACTGTATCTCCATGCTATTAATAAAAAGTAATTTAAAAAAAAAAAAAATCTCACTGCTGTAGATAACTCTGGAAAGCTAAACAAACCAGTCAGTACTATGCATCTGCAAATACAGTCTTTGAATGAAAGTGTGATTTTTATTTTAAAAAGTATCAATTTACTTGTAGCACAAGTATGCACATAAACTGAAAACTGTCACTTAAAAATAACAGCATGATTAACTGTTCTTTCCTTCCTTGTTTCCCCCTACGTAGAGACTCGCCTCCATAGCAGGACCCTAGCTTCACCAAGGCTGAACTGTACACAAAAAAGCTGCACAGTTACAAACCTTTGGATTGCATTTATCTAAGCTGTAAGGCTGCAACCCCAGGCTGAGAACCCAGGGGCTCCCGGGGACAAAGTTAGGAACACCAGGAGTTTAATCGTGACTATCCGAGTGATTTGCTGTGTTGCCTTGGAGAAGTCACTTACAGAGGACCTAGACAGAGAATGGAAATATATTTGCATCCTCTGCTGTACATAAATTTACTACAGGCTTTTTCTTAAGTGTTCAGAACAGGTTAACGTTTGAAATCAAAGCCTTTGGAAATACAAAATACTTTAAATCTGCTCTCATGCAAGTATAGTATTTTTACTGGCATCTCCGCCTCATTTAGCAGAGGGGACAAGCTTAAAGAATGAATTATCAGTTGAATAATTTCTTTTCATTCTGACTTTCCAGCTTGCATGCTGTTTTTAATTCAACATCTAAGCTCAACAACAAATAAACAACTGGTTTCTTCATACACACTAACAAGAGCCGCAGAGAAAAACTTGTGTCTGATACAGACAAGTTTTCTCAGATAAGGAACTGAGACAGAGAGATGAAGAACAAACATCCAAGATTGGTTAACTTCAAGAATCTTAGACAGTTTTTCCATTGCTCTTAACATTTATATATTAGAGAACAGTTTATGACCAACTAAATCTGCAGCTTCGGTTCTTGACAATTCTCTGCACTGGGAACCAACACAGAATAGTATTAATGAAAAAGGTACCAGATAAATTCCACTCTATAGATGAAATGAGATTATTTCTTGTTCACAGCAGGACTACATACACAAACTCACACCGCCTCTCTCACTACAAAACAGATTAGAAAGTTAAGATTAGACAGCTCACTATCACTCATATCAACAGAGGTCTGAGGAATTTAGCGTTTTGCAGGATTTCTTAAGAAAAATTTCAGCAAGTAGAAATGTATCATGAAATCTCAGGTATTCATTTTACTGAGGTTGCCTTCTGCAGGCTCTAGAAACACGTGCTGTAAGATACCCAGGTAGGGGTCTGCATGGCTAACTCTCAGATTACTACAGTAAATTCTGCAATATTTGGGGTTTTTTAAAACCCCAGCTCTGAGAGTCATATTTCTATACCCACCTCTGCTTTCTATTAAAAACACTGCCGCCTTCTGAAAACATATATATGAACAGAAGAAAAGCTTGAGCAATGCTTACCTATGTTTACTACAAGCTAAAAATTAGCATTAACCAAATAAAACATCAAAGTTTTAGAAATACATTTTTCTTAGTTAGACTGACTTTAGAATCTGGTGTCAATGTTACTAACAGGAAGGGTAGTTTGATATATACATACACTTAGAGTAATTCCCCCTCCTTCCCCACACCCCCAACCAACCAGGCTCTTTTCAACAATTCTATACAATATATGTAAGGAAAAATATACCACCATTACCAAAACAATCATATTCTGCAGATCAACTTTAAATTTGTTGTTGAAGTTTTTAAATAAGGAGAAAAGTTATTAATTTCATGAGACTGTTATGAAAACAAAGACGTCAAACAAAAAACTCCTATATTTTAAGGCTTGGTAGCCTCCGAGGACATCAGAAGAACTACACATGGTGGTTAAACATTTTAACATACAGCACCTGAAGGTTTAAGACTATTTAAATGCTAAGCATCTGTACATTAAGATGTTTGATTACATCAATGAGATACTTATTACTACCTTTAAGTTACACAATAAAGCTTATGCTACTGTAACCAGAGACTCATTTGGAAAAAATGGGAGAAATGAAAAGTCATGTTTAGCCATTTTTAGTTAGCATTTTTCCCAACTCTAGAAGCCAGCATGTTTACTGTTAGACCATGTAATTTTAATCAGGAAATTTATGTAACATATCACATTATAATATTTAATTATGGAATTTTTACTTTTTGCCAATAGGAACTCAGCGGTGCTCAGTGCACAGGATGGACTCATGAGAAAGGACTAATTGCTGTGCACAGGCAACTGTGAGCCTGACATTCTTTCATATTTCAGAGCAATGCTTGACAGTATTAAGGGTAAAGCATTAATTAAAATTAGGGGCGGGGGGTGTGTGTGGGTGTGTGTGTGTGTGTGTGTGTGTGTGTTGGTGCAAAATACACTGCACACAGAAGGGATTAACAGTTTCCTGTGGACCTCTGTCTTTACATGTGAACTCAACACAAAAGCTCTCCTTCCTATATTTGAAATGCGTATGTATATAGAGCGCATTCTATCAGTATCTTCTAGGAAAACAAGTCATAATAGTTACTTTACTGTGATTTTCAAGTCAGAAATGAAACCATTCATATTCCTTAACAGGACAGGATTTCTGCTATCTCAAGAGACAGGAGGTATATAAGCTATTTCAAATTACATTATTATAAGGCTCACGTTCCCATGACCGTTGTTAGCAGCGCTGGTGCCGTTGCTTCCATGACTAAAAACAAGCCTCCCATGTGCCAGCACAGGGAATCTGATCTTGCCGTTATGCTGCTGCTGGGAGAACTCCCAGTCAGCCCCAGGAACACATGCCAGGCAGGGGGTAAAGGGGCCAACAGGATTGCCCAAGATAACTAAGACTGCACTGAAGTATACTAGCCATGCCTTCCAGTTTGTCTGCACAACTCCTTCATAACTTCTCTCTCTTCCTCCTCCCTATCCCCACGCAATACTGGTAAATAACTCCCACGAAAATGGTCAAGAAGCCTGGATTTTCTATTGATGGATGCTGACAACTCACAAGATTCAGACTACAAACTTCAGTTCTGCCTCCAAGTTCTTTCTGCTGCTATGATTAGCCATGAAACAGATGCAATTTGGAGTTTAAGACACCAGAAGCTGATTTCATTTGGGGATAGATTGCTTCACCTTCTCTAAAACAGTTTATAAAACCATCAAACTAAGTTTAAATGGGAGTGTGTGACACCATCATTCGTCTTTGCAGAAGCAGTACTATATTTAACATATAGAAACTGAGCTAAAAGACTCATTACAGCTAAAAAGACCATCTCTATTGTAAAGGCAAAGCTACTTCACAAGCTGATTTTTAAAATATCAGCCAAAACTTGCCATGCCAGTCAAACACACACAGGCAGACAAAGATTACCCTCTTAGCTCTGCTTGTCCTACGACTACAGCTCTAACAGGCATTAGTAACTCTTCCTG